ACACCCCTCTTCTGGAAGCAGATTGGGGTGTGCCTTCTGAAGCGGCTCCCTGCTGGCGTCCGATGCACACCCTGCACCTCTGGCTACAAACCAAAGGCACCGTGACTTGAAGTCACTTCTTGGTGGGGCATGAGAGCAGCTCATTTGTCCTTCTGGAACATACCAGGCATTCTGCTTTTCTCTGTCCCGTGCTCCTTCCTACGTGTGTGTGAGAGAGAGAGAGAGGAGAAAGGCCAGCGACTACCAAGAGCCAGTCTGATGGGCACTAAGAGCAGCTGTGAGGCTGGAGAGCCTGCCAGCCTGCTGCCTTCAGCTGCCTCAGACACCCCCGTATGCCCCCGGCTTTTCCTGCTGGGGAGAGGTCGGGTCCGGGCCGAGTGCATCTTTATGAGGGCTAAGCCCCCTCTCCCTTCCATCTCCCACGATCCTGGCAGGACAAAACGGGCCCACTGGCTGCAGACCACATGCCCAGGACAAAGGTCTGCCAGGACTGACCAAGCCTGGAGGGGGCGTTTCTGGGTGTTGCTCAGTGGCCCCGTGCAAAACAGAATGGAATGTTGCCCAGCCCTGGCCCATAGCGACCGTACGCACAACAGAAGGATACCCCGCCAGGGCCCGTGCCCTGCACACTCTGCTTGAGCCAGCTGCGGCAGCCACCGTGACAATCCCTCTGCCTCTTTTTTGCCCCCCTCCCCTTTACCAAGCACGAAGTCCTTCTCCAGGGGCTGGTCTCTCCTGTTCAACATGTGTGAGACAAAGTCTCGCCATCGTTGCCTCTAAGGAGCACTCTGGCTCTTCCCAAAGACCCTCCCGTGCCACGCAACAGTCCTCAGGGACCCTTGGGGGGGCCGGGACGGGGAGGGACCGACCACCAGACACTCCGCTCCGATCCGCTCTGCGTCTTGTGATTCCCCTTAACGCTTCATTGACAGAGGGCTCCGTGGTTCGTCACAGACACACTTGAACATTGCGCCCGACCCCGAGGTTCCAAGAGTCCACGGTTCTGTGGTCAAAGCCTATAGCCCCAGGCGTCAGCTTTTAATGAAAAGCCGCCGCCACCACCACCACCATACTCATTGTTTGTGGTTACCTTGATCAAGTTCTGGAACTTCTTGCTCTGCTGCAGCAGGAGCTTGTAATTGCTGACGGCTTCGTTGTGGCAGCTGCAGAAGATGCCGTACTTTTCTTTCATCCTCTCTCCGCGCTCGCCGGAAAACTAGCGGGAAGGAGAACGGAGGCATCCGAGGCTCGGGAGGAGGCAGGTCGGGGGCGTCTCTGACCCCCGCTGCTCCGAGCTGCTGACCTCCTGAGTACGGAACTTATTTGCCAGTTGGTTTCCTTCCCTGGCACAGACTCGAACGGGGACTTGCTGAACCCCAAGGTTTACGAAAGCGGGAAGATGAGGACTTACTGCCCAAGGGCTTGACCACACCCCTGACGCTGCACCAACCCCCAGACCCACTGCCAAGGCATCTATTCCTGTTCACAGCAGGACCAAGCAGAACCGCCCCTTAGTATTTCAAAGGCTGTGAATCTTTACGAGAACAGCCTCATCTTTCTCCCTCTGAGTGACTGGTGGGTTTGAACTGCTGACCTTGCTCTTAGCTGGCCAGCACCTAACCCACAGTGTTCCTGGGACCCCAGAAACCCATGAAAGAGGGAGGGATTTAAGCTGAAGAATACCCCTCAAATTAAAGAGCAAAATGTACGCTGTGCCGGTTCATTCTCTTTGAGGGAGGCCGTGTCTGGAGGCAGCGAACAGGCCTACAGCGGCCTCCACTCCTCCTAGAATAGTGGTTCTCAACCTTCCTAACGCTTCGGCCCTTTCAGACAGTTCCTCATGTGGCGGTGACCCCCAACCTTAAATTATTTTCGTTGCTACTTCATCACTGTCACTTTGCTACTGTGATGAATCGTCACGTAACTGTCTGATAGGCAGGATGTATTTTCATTGTGACAGATTGAACATCATGAAAGCAGAGTGATGAATCACAGAAACAATGTCATTATGTATTGTGAAGTATTTATTTCTAATGACAAATCAATGAAATTTTGTCTTGAAGCACGGTGTAGCATGGGGGTCTTCACGCCGGGTACTTGTATGTGGGCCTATCTGCATGTGGGCGGACCGCCTGGAGACGAATAGAGGAGCGTGTCTCGGTTCCTGAGACCACCGGAAATATGTGTTTTCCGATAGTCTTAGGTGACCCCTATGAAAGGGTCGTTTAACCCCAAAGGGGTCATGACCCACAGGTTGAGAACCGCTGTTCTACAAGCTGCTGAAATTCCCGGGGCCCATGCCCCCACTTTGGAGGGCTCAAGCGAGCCCACAGGCTATGTGTCCAAAGGTCGGAACCCCGAAACCTGGCAGGCCACACCCCACCACAAGGTGTGTGCCAGGGGCCAGGCAGAAACTAGGGTGCCTCCCGCCGAGGCACACAGACCTCAGGGCTTTAGAACAAGAGCCGGGGTCCTGGCTGCCAGCACCCTGGGCACCCGCTCCTGTGGGCAGCAGTGGCACCCACCTGCTGCACCAGGAGGTCCCCGATTCTCTGGATGATGTAATTGTGGTCGCTGCCCTCCTCCAGAGACTCCTGGCGGCGCTCCTTGAGGCGGGCAAGGAAATGGCCGTGCATGTCCAGCAGGTCGTCTGCGCAGGGGAAGAGCTGGCTGATGGCCTTGCAGCCGGCCTGCAGCTCCTCTTGCAGGGCCCGGAAGTAGACCTTGAGCAGGATCTTGAGCGTGCGCACGTGGTGTGCCTCCGTCTGCATCAGCTCTGCGGGGCATGATGGGAGGTTAGTCCTTGCCTCCAGGTTTCCAGACAACTCCCCCCATGCCTGTCCACCGGTCCTAGAGGACAGACGGGGGAGGGTCCAAAACGTAAGGACAGCGGAAGGTGGTTCCGGCTGTCTGAGGGAAGCAGGTGCCAACCTCACCCTTCACCAAGCTTTGGATCAGACCCAGCCTGGAGCGGACACGGATCATAGCAGGGTCCAAGGGAGGATGTCCACTCACTGTCCCAGGCAGAGAAAGGGCACCCTCTGCCCTGGAGTTGAGCTGCCGCTCCCAAGGTCAGCGTGAAGGGACGGAGTTTGTGGATGGGCACAGGGGGCTGGGCGCCATGCTAAGTGCCCGCACGAGTCTGTGTGGTTGTGTGGAAAGGGACCCCTGTGTAGAGGGTCCTGCAAGCAGCGGTATCCTCCCACCCCCACCCAAGAGAGAGCCTGGGGGTGGTGGTGTGTACATCCTCCTGGGAGCATGTATGTACTACGTATGTTCTTCCCTGATGAGAGGGTCTGGGGGCCTGTATATTCTCCTGGGAAGTATACATCCTGCCCTGAGGAGAGAGCCTGAAGGTGTGCACATTCGACAGGACAGGGTAGCACTGCCCCTGTTTCTGAGACTGTAGCTGTTCATGGAAGTAGAAATCCCTGCTTTTCCCCCTGCAGAGCTGCTCGGGGATGCTGCCCAACACATAACTACTACCACCCCACCAGAGCTCTTTGAGGAGTCTGTGCATGCTTTTGGGGGTGTGTATGTGCTCCCCCTGAGCAGAGCGCCTGGAGGCATGTGCATTCTCCTAGGGGCATGCATGTTGGCCCTGAGCAGAAGGCCTGGGGGTGGGGAGTGCTCCCCGAGGATAAAGCCTGTGCATGCGTACATTTTCCCCGAGTGAGCCTGTGGGGCACGTAGGTTCTCCCAAGGGTCTGGGGCTGGGTGCCGTCTCCCTCTGAGGCCCTGGGGGGCAGGAATGTTCTCTGCTGCTGAGGGGCTCAGGCAGTCTGTGGGGCCCGGGAGATGGGAAGTTGGGGCAGACTTGCCCAGGGAGGTATCTGGACTTCGTCTCGACAGGACCACTGGCTTGGCTTTGGGACCCTGGGGGTGGGTGGTCTCACCTGGGTTCCTTCTTATCCACAACCCAGCTACTCTGAAGATCTCTGTATGGGAAATCCCAGAGCCTGGCCTAGCGGGGATGTCAGGAGCCTCCACACGGTGGAGCTAAAAATGCTTCTGCGTAGGATCTCTGGGGCCCAGGAAGTGCACACCCACCCAGCCACGTGGTCGAGAGACAGGGAAGCCTGCTCCCCTCACAGTCCCAGCCTGGGAGCTTCTCTGGGGCAGTTTCACTCTGTCACACAGGGCCACCGGGGGTGGGGGTGGGCTGCTGGGTGCATCAGACTCCACTCCGTGACACCCAACAACACCGCCAGTCCTCACCAAGGCACAGGAAAATACTTCCTCAGGTGACATGTGCTTGGGGGACGGGGCCGTGGGGGCAGCAAGTGCAGCACCGGAAGAACTGCCAGGCCAAGAGGCCTGAGCTTGGTCACTGAGCACCGGATTTGTGGGGTCCAGAGCCCAGGGGAGGTCCTACACCACCCTCCCCCTGGAACTGCCCATCAGTGACAGTGACTTAATGGTCCATCTCGGAGGGGAGCAACTGACCCCTGGAAAGTGGAGGGAGCATTCAGGTGGTCCCTGGAGGGGCACCCACCATGCTGATCGTGCTAATCACCCCTCAGAGAGGAGCATACACCCCTACCCCAACTGAGGCCAAGGCATCCTGGTGGTGCAATGGTTAAGCACTCAGCTGTGAACTGAAAGGTTGGTGGTTTGAATCTACCCAGACCTGGTGATCTGCTCCCAAAGAGATCTGAGCCCAGATGAGGGCTGCTCCCACGTGTCCCTCTTTGCTCAAGAAACAAGGGACACAGGCAAGTGCCCACGGCCAGAAACACAGTGGATTCGTCACGTGTTTGATTCTGAACTAAATTTGGGTTTGCCGAGTGTTCAGAGACCTTTTCCCGTTGCCAAACACTTCGGGACCCCTGCACTCACTTACGTCACCCCATTTGGGATTGCCACCTCCGGTTTAAGCAGCTTTGGCTCAGATGACAAGAGTCCACAGGGACACTGCTCTACACCCTACTTTGGTGAGTGGTGACTGGTCTTAGAAGCTCGTGTAGGGCCATCCAAAGGGCAACTATTGGTCTTGCCCCCTCCAGAAGAAAGACGGGCGATGAAACGGAATAGACGCATGGAAGCAATCAGTCCAGTGGACTAGTGACCCATGCAAATAGCAGTCTCCACAATCCCACGACCAGAAGAACTAGATGGTGCCCAGAAACCACCAACAGCCGCTATGGAAGGGATCACATTAGCAGGTCCTGCACCGAGGGGGACAAACGTGAGGGACAGAGGTCAAAATCCTCAAACAGTTCAGGCTGACTGATCTGAGAGACTGGTAGAAACTGAGACCATGGGCCTTAGTTATCCTCCAGTCTACAACTGAACTCAGCCCCCAACCACCCCAATCGACTCTCAGCCACTCCAGAGGCCTGCAGGGTGAACTGGAATACCAGGGAGGTAACCAGGCCCTGCTTGGAACAATCAGCCATTTGAGATAAAGAAGGCAGCCTTTACCCAAGGCCAACGTTCAGCCGGGTTAGTTAGGAAAGGAGGCGACAGGGGACCAGCACACAGGGTGTTAGTGGGATGAGCCAGAAGAGCCTGAGGGGATCTTGTGGGGATCGTAATGAATGGCGTGGAACAAAAATCAACCGTTATCTGGTCTGTAAACTTTCACCTAACTCCTAATGGAAAGTTAAAGAAAAGAAAAACAAAACCCAAAGATGACAGATTAGCTTAACCCCAGGGGGCAGTGCTACATCGTCACAGGAGAATCTATGTACTGGATGGCACTTGGCAGTAACCAGTTAATCACCATCCGGCCACCACAGCCAGGCCAGGCAGGGCATGGAAGCCACCAGAGGCCAGCTTTAGGGTCACCCCGTGGAGACAACCAGGTGAGTGTGGGTCACACCTGGGCCACGGCCACCAGGTAAGGATGCACTGCCCAAGCCCCGTCCATGCAGCCCAGTCTGGGAGCGGGGCTGGCCAGGGCGGGCAGTGGCTGGCCCCAGGGACCCAGGACCCCACACACGGGAAGGCGTTCCGGCGTGGGGGCGGGGCTCTCACCGTACAGCACATCCTGTCTCTTCACCACCTCCCGCTTCTGCTGCTTCACGTACTCGGGGTCCACGGACAGGCTCCAGGACTCGGCCTCCAGCTCGTGGGCGTCGGCCTCGAGCTCGCCCCTCAGGGAGGCCACGAAGGGATCTGCAGGGACAGCCCAGGCCAGCTGCTGCGGGGCTTGGTGCCCGGCGGTGCCGCGCCGCCCCCCCCCTGCCCTGGGATACTTCTCACTGGGCACCCCCCGACATCCAGGAGAGGCGGCTGTACCTTCCAAGAAGATTGGCTCGGCGTTCGAAGACGTCAGCGACAGGGCGTCGTCGGCTGCCTGCCTCAATTTCAAAAACCCGGAGTCGGCTTCATCCATCTCTCCTGCGCCTGGGCTACAGGAGAGCGGGCAGCGCGGTCATTTCCAGGAGCGGAGCTGCGTGCGCATGCGCACCAGGCCCGCTCTGCGGAGGACACCGGCTTGCAGCTCAGGCCAAGGGCAGCACACGGGAGAGTGGTTCCTGAGTTTCCCTCGCCGTGCAACCTCGGCACGGGAGCAGAGGTTTTTGAAAACAAGGAGACTCTTCTGTCAACACACACACAGAGCCTTCTCCCATCAGAATGTTCAGGAACCTTCTAATCCCACACAAACCCACGGCCACCGAGTGCAGTCGGCCCCCAGCGACCCTGTGGGGCAGAGCGGAATGGGTTCTGGGTGGAGGGGAGAATCCAGCCTCATCCTTCTACCGGGGCGTGGCTGCTGGGCGTGAACCAGGGACCCTGTGGTCACCGGCCTGACACTTCACCGACTGCACTTCCAGGCCTCCTTGGGGGTGCTTTCTAGAAGACGGCGACTCACAGCAACGCGGCAGGACAGGGTAGAACTGCCCCTGCGTGTTTCCAAGGCAGTCACTCTTACGGATATGGAAAGCCTCCTCTTTCTCCCAAGGAGTGGCTGGCGGTTTTCGAACTGTTGACCTTGGGGTTAGCTGCCCCATGTGCCATCAGGACTCCTAGGGACATTCCCAGGGTGCGTTGGGAGTAGGCTTCCCTTGCTGACACTCGGATTCCTGGGAGGTGCAAACAGGGCTCAGCTGCTCACGGAAAGGCTGGTGGTTTGAGTGTGCTCACAGGTGCTCAGAAGAAAGGCCTGGTAACCAGCTTCGGAGACATGAGTCCCCTGAGCTGATGGAACACAGTCTGATTCCGACACACGTGGGGTTGCAGTGAACTGCTGCCGACCCGATGGCCCTTTAGGGACTACTGGAGCAGCTGCTGCAGCCCTGATGGCACAGTGGTTACACACTGAGCTGCTACCTGCAAGGCCTGCAGTTCTAAGCCCCTGAGAATGAGATGTCCTACTGCCGTCAAGAGTGACAGCTTTCTAAACCCACAGGGACAGTTCTAACCCTGTCCTACAGGGTCGCTGTACATCGGAATTGACTTGATGGCAGTGAGGTGCTCCTGCTGCCCGGGGAATTTTCCCTACCAAGAGTTAAACTGACCAGCCCCACAGTGCATGCGCGTGTGCGCGTGTGCGCATGCGCGCGCAGAATAATGCTTTTTCGTCTTGCTTTCTTAAATTGCTGTAAAAACGCATAAAACACATCGTTTGCCCCTGCAATGCATTTCTCGCTTACTGTTTGCAGTAAGCAACGACCTGATAGCAACGACCAATTAATTGCACAAGCCGTGCTGGGAGCCCGCACCAGTAGCTGCCACCACGTTTCCCAGTACCTCAGGGTGGCTCCTTCTAAGAGAACGCGGCTCCTTATTGGGGACCTCAGCATCACCTTCACTGTCTTCTCTCGCCCCGCCCTCCACTCTCTGCCCACCGACTCAAGGTAGACCATAGCCAGAGGGTCTAGACCAGCGGTTCTCAACCCGTGGGTCTAGACCCCTTTGGGAGTCGAAAGACCCTTTCACAGAGATCGCCTGATTCATAACAGTAGCAAAACGACAGTTACGAAGCAGCAATGAAAATAATTTTATGGTTTGGGGGTCACCACAACACGAGGAACCGTATTAAAGGGTCGTGGCATTAGGAAGGTTGAGAACCACTGGTCTAGACAATGGGGTGCCATCTTGGGGGCATCGTCTGCTGGCCCCGCCCCAAGGGGCAAGTGCGAGAATGTTCTAGAAGGGGGGTGGGGCAGCAGTGTAACTGGCTCCAAAGGGCCC